TCTGCCCCATGTTATCCCTACCCTCTTCATCCAGCAGCATCGGTGTGGCAGGGCTGTAAAACATAACACCATTCCCATGACTTGTAAAATGAAGGCTGTTCACCTAGTAACTCTGAATTTAAAAAATTAAAAGAGTATTTTGATACCTTCTATTCACCCTGTTGGTGAAGAAGGAATCCCACATTTCAATTACAAGATGACCAAACAGGCAACACCCAACTCTGGAACAATAAGATTAACAGCAGCTTATTAGACATACATATTTGCAATCCAGGGCAGGAGGACACTGTGCTCCAGGCAGAGCCACATGAGGATGGGCTCAGGAGAGTGAATCTGAAAGGGCATAGGAGTATAGGCTTTGTAGTAAGAAGAGGGTGAGGTGACCCCTGGTTTCTATGGAAGGATGTGATTGGCTTGTTTGAATAATTTTATGGGCTGTCAGGGAAGTGAAACCTATTGGGTGGAGCATTAGGTGGAGTGCATCTGGCCCAAAGATGGGGAGACTAGCTAGGTGGAGAGACTTACCTTTTGAGGGCAGGGGTTGCATATCTGATGAGAGCAGAGAAACTCATGGTGAGGCCTTTGAACACTTGTGGGGCTCAAAGATGTCAAGGCAGTACAGGAACTTTTAGAATTTGTAACACGGAGAGTTATTAAAAGATTGGATGAGCTGTAAACAATCCAATGAAAGCAAATAACATCAATTAGAATTATAGCTGTGAGGTGTGATTTCAAGAAGTTTAGATAGAAAATTTAAATTTGTTCCACATTTATTCATTTTTTTTTAAAGCAAGTTATTGTAGAGAAGGTGGGTGATCAGGGACTTCAATATAAAGTGCTTTTTATATAAATAAAATGGGTTTTACTGATACTTGTGAATATTTCATATTGTAGGTAATCATGATATTCTGTGTTTTCTAATTTTGGACTTAAGATCCATAAAGATTACAGTCTATGACATTGAGAAATTGTAAAAGCCTCCAGGGATGTTTCAGATATAAGAAAGTGCAGTGAGCTTGTCTGTATAACTGATCGCACCTCAACTTGGCTGCTTATTCAGAAATCAATGCCACATGCAGATACACTGCCACAATTTCTGATGAGAAGGGGATGGGATACAAGCTATGCTATAGGTATTTGGTGGCATTTAGTCTTCAGGTTTATATATGACAATTAAAATGGATGTTCCAATATTTTACATTTGGAGAGAGAAAGGAAGTTTTCGTCATTGTCCACATTATATTAAATGGTTTATTTGCATAGGAAAATACATCAGTAGGGTGAAAGATTTTAATAAAACTTAACAGTTGCTTCAAAGTCTTTACCAAAATATTACAATCATATAATGATGAGCTACTTGGTTTTTGTATAAAGACATCTGAATAGGATGCCTTTAGTTTCAATCTGATAAGTCTATTGATTGCCCGGTATAATGGTAACTAACACATTATCAACATATTATAGCACCCAACACTGTCAATTCTCAAATAACTATTAGTCTCCTGACTCTTAATTTCAAATATTCCAACTTCAGAGGTTTTACTATATATACTGGAATCATAGTACAGTTTTAAAATATTTTTATTCATTTCATTTTACATAGGTTCTATGTAACCTAACATTGAAAGAATAAATGAACCTCAATTTGTCTAACAAATATGCTTCTGAGAAGTTATGAATTGAATGATATTTTAAATGCACTAAGGGAACTGATTATTTGAAAGCACATTGTGGTGAATTATTTTGTAATTCAAGTATTATGTAAGTTTGTGTTTCTTTGAATTGGATTCTATTAAAACAACACTTCTTAGTGCTAACACTGATGAGAGAAATAATTCACAGCAGATTATAAATGTTCAATGGAAGTGCAGAGTATTTTAGGAGGAAAAAGAAACTTTTGCCTTTAAAGGATGTTTAAACACCTGGTTGAAATATAAAGGAAAGTTAACGTCAAGTTCAGGTCTACATTCACCTTCCCAATTTTGAAAATATGTCTCTCTTTCCAGTTAGCTTTGTATATAGTCCTCGCAAGGCTGGGGATTGCCCAAGTGACCTTATTTTAAGATCTTTTTAAATTCTTTTACTTCAGTCCAGACAAAGAATTTTTTTAAAAAAAGGCTTCTCTTTGTACTGGGTGAAAAAAAAATCCATGCATCAACCTCTGAGATGGCATTTAAAATAGAAAAAAGAATCCTTTAAAGATCATTGTTCTCATAATTATTGTTTCATCCCCATTTTATTGACTAGATTTATGTTTTTGTTGCAAATAGATTGCAAAATTCTTTAAAAAATGACAACAAGCAATTTTCAGAACTTTTTTTTAAACCAAAGAACTGTAACATATTAACCAATCTGTGCAGCACTGCAATGAAATACTACAGATTCAGAAAAGACAGCTTTAAAACTCATCTATTGTATCTATCTACGTTTATCTTACCAATAAAATGTAAGAAATATGAACAAATTATAATGGAAACCTAGGGGGCACTTTTATTTGCAAGTATTTAAATTAAAAGTTTGTTTCTCAAGATAGATATGTCAGTCTATCCAATAAATACTCACATGTCTACCCCACATAGGTTAGATAAGGTGAATCACATCATAATGGATATGACATGGTACCTAACATCAGAAAACATATAGTCTACCAAGAAAAAGAAAACAGCCGGGCGCAGTGGCTCACGCCTGTAATCCCTGCACTTTGGGAGGCCTAGGCAGGCGGATCAGGAGCTCAGGAGTTTGAGACAAGCCTAGCCAACATGGTGAAACTCTGTCTCTACTAAAAATACAAAAACTAGCTGCGCATGGTGGCACACACCTGTAGTCCTAGCTACTCAGGAGGCTGAGACAGCAGAATTACTTGAACCTGGTAGGCTGATGTTGCAGTGAGAGGAGATCATGCCACTGTACTGCAGCCTGGGTGACAGGGTGAGACTCTGTCTCAAAAAAAAAAAAAGGAAAAAAGAAAAAGAAAGCACATGTACAAATACAGTATTACTGCTATTGAGGGATGCAGACAGAGTGTCAGAGTAGGGAGAAATTATCTATACCTGCAGGAAATAGGAAATTGCACGCAAATGTGTTTGAGAAGACATTTGCAGTGGGAAATCATCCTAGGAGTCACAGCTCAAAGCTAGACAGGAGGGGTCCTGGGGAGGAAATTAAAATCACATGAGGCCTTGAATGTCAGGCTGAGAAATTTAACTTGAATTTTCTGTGCAGTAAGGGAGTTACAGAAGGTTTTGAAGCAGGAGAGGATTATGATACAATATATGGTACAAGAAAAGTAATCTTATATGGGTGAGTAACAAGAGAAGAGGAAGCTCTGAGGTGAGGAGAAGTGCAGGGAATTTTACAATCACTCAGGTGTGAGGAAATGAGAACTTGAATAGAGAAAACAGATTCCAGGACCAAAGTCAGAAGAATCAGAAGTAGTAAACAGCCAAAAGAATGGAGGTTGTTACAGGGAAGGTTGGAGGGAGAAGCTAAAAGGCATTTCAGTCTTCATGTCTATGCCTGGGAGAGTGAAGATAATGTTGCATCCATAGAAATGGGAATCACGGGGCTAGAAACAGGTTTGGGAATAAAATTGTAATCTTACAAATTGGTAATCTTGGTTTACATGCATTGCACAATGTTCGATGTAGGTGTTTCATGCAGCAAAAAGTAAAGATTTTTATAATTTGTTATTCAGGCTTTTACACATTTAGGTGATTTTTTTTCTAAAAATTATGTAAAGATTTATTGAATGTGATAGATTGCATGGCCAGAATATGGTAATCCCCAAATATTGGAAAGTTATGTTCTTTTCCTTCACAGGTATTTGGCACCAGTCAACTCCCAGAATCACAGCAACTAAACTCTAATTTGAGAAAATAATGAAAGGAGTGTAAATCACATTCCACTTTTTGAAACTTCATAATCTATGTGCTCTGGTCCCTCATTTTAGAATGATTTGAAATAGTTTGTCTAAGCAGTACACAGAATAAGTTTATGATGCGTGAATATATGATGACTTGGGTGATGTTTCATTACAACAGTCTCCAGTGTTTTTCTGAAAAGGGGCTCATTTTGTTTTTCTGAAATTTTTTGATGAGTGGAGGATGGAATATGAGGTTAAAATATTGATTATTAATATAACATTGGATTGCAAATAGCATTATCCATAAATTTACTGTATTATTAATGCTACTGCAGTTGATCTAAACACTGGAAATGAATTTGTTACTTTGCACAAAATGGTGAAAAAAATACTGTATATCTAATTGATTGTCAAAAGCCCAAGAAGCTCTTAAAAAGTGTTGGCTAAGCATATTTGTGAAGACAAATATGTTTAAGTGTCCCTTTGAGTAACTTCAACAAAAGTAAATCAGAAGAACTGGGATTATGTTTACTCTTTAAATTTGTTAAAACACAGGTCCAGGATTATTGATTTTGATTGGTTGTCTCTGCTCTTTTTCTTACCTTTCCTTTTATTCCTTTTATCCTTCAATATTTTTGTGATTTTTTTTTAAGTGATCATATATTAACTTCAAATGACTGGGAACACTGGTTTCTTTGCAGGACGTAGAGGCAGATTTGGCTTTCCTAAACTCATCTCTGGTTCATAAACCATAAACTACTGTTCAATGGGTCTACTTTGAATGACTGAGCAGTACTCTTTGAGCCACATGACTAAAATTTGCAAGATTCTCTAAGAAATCTTAGTGATAAGACGGTGCCTGACTAAGCAATGACATTTTATGGTAACTGATTCAAGTCTCCTATATGGTGCAGCTGGGCTGGGAGCATCTTTCTTTGGAGTTCCTGAGAGGTTACAGCCATTTCACACTTAACTTCATGGGGAGAATATAGAAACATGGACATACACTTGATAAATAGCCCTTAAGTAACCAGGGTCCACTTAATCACTTTGGAATCTTAAATTAATGTTCTATTATTAAGGAAAAAGTTTCACTTCTTAGTCCTTGATTTTTTGGGTTAACTACCAACAAAAAACAATAACAACAAAACCCATCTCAAGCTAAAAAGCTTATAGCTACTCTTGAATTGAGTAAAACCCAATGTGTTTCACAGATAATGTATTTTACTCATGAAATGTGGTTGATCTTACCAAGCAAAATTCAATGAATATAATGCAATTTTTCTACTGTTTCAATTATATTTTAAAATTGGAAGAAAAGTGGAAGACTTATTCTGCCAAGAGTAAAACTTAATTTCATTTCTTTTTAATTCCATTGCACTCCATTAAATCTGGTGAAAAAAACTGTACTGTCATTTATTCCCGTTCTTAATCATTAGAATGAAATGAAACATATCAGTATACTTAAAAAACCTTTGGATTATGAATTAAATACAAAAGTACAATTAGAAAACAGTACAGAAGGATATTTTAAAATAGTTTATTATAAAATCAGCAAAAAGAAAACAATGAAACAGTGACCATTTGAGGTTTGTTTCTTTTGTTCTTTCTATGAAAATAATTTCAAACTCTTTGACAATGCAGTTAGTACATTCTGGAAGTAATAAATATCACACTATGTAGCAGCATATAGAAAAAATAACACCTGGATTTAGACACAAGTTGAAGAAAATAATGGGATTATTGCTACCACATATAATTTATAATTTAATTTTAATTTTTAGGTAATTGTGAATTCACACACAGCATAAGATGTAATATGCAGAGTTCACAATACCACGTACCCACTTTCCCCCAATGGTAACATCTTAAGATACCGTGGTACATTCTCACTCTCAGGATATTCACACTGATACATGCAAGACAGAGAACATTCCTATTACCACAAACATTTCTCATGCACTTTTAGTGCCACCTGCCTTTCCCTCCTGCCTGCATTCCTTCCTTAATTCCAGGTAGCTTGAATTCTGGGTTTGTATCTATAATATTTTCATCTAAAAGTGTTGTATAAATTGAATCATATAAGGTGTAACTTTTTGGACTGACCCTTTTCACTCTGTCTCATTTCTTGGAAATTCATCCAGGCTGTTGCATGTATCAGTAGTTTATTCCTTTTTATTGCTGAGTGTGCAAAACATGGTATGAATATTACATAGTTCAACCTCTGCCTCATGAAGAACATCTGGGTTGTTTCCAGGCTATTGTGTATAAAGCTGTTATGAACAATTGTGCTCATGTCTTTGGGTGAACATGTTTTTATTTCTCTGAGAGAAATGTCCAAGAGTAGAATTATTAGGTTGTAGGAGAGTTGCATTATAGATTTTTCAGAACCTATGAACAGTTTTCCAGAGTGGTTCCACCATTTTACATTTTCACTTACAACGTAGTTGTGATTTGGTGGTTTCTCTGCATTCCTTCCAGCATTTTGTCTTGTAACGATTTTTGATTTTAACCATTCTGATAAATTAGATATCTCATTATGATTTTAATTTAAATTTTCCAAATGACTGATAATATTGAACATCTTTTCTTGGGCTTATTTGCCATCTGTATATTCTCTTTAATGACATATCTCCTATCTCTTTTGTCCATTTTATAATTGAATTGTTTGATTTTTTTTCTACTGTTAAATTTTAGAGTTTTAATATATTCTAGTCCTTTGTCAAATATGTGGTTTGCAAATATTTTCTTCCCAGTCTGTAGTTTGTTATTTTGTCTTTGTAACAGGGCATTTTGCAATACAAAAGTTTTTAATTTTGATGAAGTCCAACTTGTCATTTTTTTTTCTTTCTTTGGATTATGCTTTTAGTGTAAAATCTGAGAACTCTGCTTCGCCTTAGATCCTGAAGATTTTCTCCTACTGTTTTCTAAAAGTGTTACAGTTTTACTTTTTACATTTAAATTCATGATCCAATCTATTTTGAGTTTATAGGATATGAGACTTGAATTTGGGTTCTTTCTCTTTCTCTCTCTCTGTCTGTCTCTCTGTCTTCCTCTTCCTCTCCCTCTCTTTTGCTTCCGAATATCCAATTGCTCCAGGATCATTTGTTGAAAAGGCTACCTTTTCTCTATTGAATTGCTTTTGCATCTTCGTCAAAAATTAAGTGGGCATATTCGTGTGGGACTATTTCTGGGATCTCTGCTTTTTTCCACTGATTTACGAGTCTATCTTCTGCCAGTACGACATCATTTTAATTATTGAAGCAATAACATAATTCTTAAAATCTAGTAGATGAATTCTTAATGCAAAATAATTTTAGCTTTTTTGGTTCTTTTGCATTTTTTACATATTTAAAAATCACCTTGTCTATGTATATAAAAAATCTTGCTGGTATTTTGGTGAGATTGCCTATTGATTTAGAGAGAATTGATACCTTTGCTATGTTTAGTCTTTCATCCCATGAACATGCTATAGCCATCCATTTATTTCAATCTTCTTTGGTTTTCTCTATTAGTTTTTTGTTTTCAACATACAAATCTTATATGTGTTTTATTAGATTAACACTTATGTATTTATTTCTTTGAACAATTTACAATTGTACAGTAAATTTTATTTTATTTTAAATATTTGTGTTTATTGCTAGTGTAGAGAAATACAATTGATTTTTGTATATTTATCTCATATCCTGAAACTTTCCTGAGCTTACTTACAAGTTCTATAATTCTTTTATTGGTGTTTTATGTTTTTGTTCATTTTGTTGATTTATTGGGGATTTTTTTATTCAGATGATTATGTTATTTGCAAGTAAGGACTATTTTATTTCTCCCTATCCAATGTGAACACTTTCTATTGCCTTCTTGGACTAGCTAAAACTTCCAGCATTGTTTTGATTAAAAGTAGTGAGAGTGGATACCCTTGCCTTCTTTCTATTCTTACAGGGAGATAATTTGATCTTTCACTATTAAGTATAATGCTATCTACAGGTTTTTCTGCAGGTACTTTTTATTAAGTCAAGAAAGTTTCCCTGTATTCTAAATTTTCTGACAGCTTTCTTTCCTTCGAAATATGTGTTACATTTTGTTAAATTTCGTGTTTATTTTTCTTCATTAGTGTATTAATATGGTGTACTACAATGATTTATGATTACTGAACCAGACTTGTGTACTTATAAGCCACACTTAGTCATGGTGCATAATTATTTTCATATGTTGCTCAATTTATTTGCTAAGATTTTGCTAATGATTGTTGTGTCTGTATTAATGAGAGATATTGGTCTGTAGTTTTCTGTTTGTACTGTCTTTTTCTGGTTTTTGTGGTAATCCTAGCTTTGTGGAATGAATTGAGAAGTGTTTGTCCTTTATCTTTTTCTGAAAGATATTGTTTAGAATTGGCATTAACTTTCTTTAAACATTTGGTGGACTTCTCCAGTAAATTCATTGAGGTCTGGAGATTTATGTTTTGGGAATTTTTAAAAATTACAATTTTAATTTTCTTAACAGTTAAAGAGCTATTCAAATGATTTCAAGTTTTTCCTTGTAGCCATTTGTGTGTATGTATGTGTGTGTATGTGTTTCAGAGGATTGTTCCATTTTGTCTAAGTGGTATCCAACTTTTTTGGAACCAGGAACCAGTTTCATGGAATGTAATTTTTTCATGAACCAGAGGCAGGGGGTCGTGTCCCACCGCAGATTGTCTGACATTAGATTATCATAAAGAGTGTACAACTTAGATCCCTCACATGTGCGTTCACAATAGAGTTTGCATTCCTATGAGAATCTAAGGCTGCTGCTGATCTGACAGAAAGTGGAGCTCAGGTGGTGATATGGTTTGGCTGTGAATCCACAAAAAAATCTCATCTTGAATTGTAATCAGAATGGTAATCCCCACATATTGGGGGAGGGACATTGTGGGAGGTGATTGGAACATGTGGGCACTTCCCCCATACTGTTCTGATGACAGTGAGTGAGTTCTCATGAGACCTGATGGTTTTATAAGAGGATTTCTCCCCCTTCTCTCTACGATTCTCTTTCCTGCCACCCTGTGAAGAGGTGCCTTCCACCACGATTGTAAGTTACCTGAGGGCTCCCCAGCCATGTGGAAGTGTGAATCAATTAAACCTAATTTCTTTAATAAGTTACTCAGTCTTGGGTATTTCTTCATAGAAGCATGGGAACAGACTAATACAGTAAATTGGTACTGGGTAGTGGGATACCCTGTAAATATATGCAAAAATGTGGAAGTGACTTTGGAATTGGTTAACAGATGGAAGTTGGAACAGTCTGGAGGGCTCAGAAGAAGACAGGAAAATGTAGGAAAATTTCAAACTTCCTAGAGACTTGTTGAATGGCTTTGACTAAAATGCTAATAGAGATATGGACAATGAAGTTCAGGCTGAGGTGGTCTCAGATGGAGATGAGGAACTTGTTGGAAACTGGAATAAAGGTGACTCTTGCTATGCTTTAGCAAAGAGGCTGGTGGCATTTTTCCTCTGCCCTAGAAATCTGTAGAACTTTGAGCTTGAGAGAGATGATTTACGGTATTTGGCAAAATAAATTTCTAAGTGGCAAAGCATTCAAGAGGAATTAGAGGATAAAAGTTTGGAAAATTTGCAGCCTGACAATGCAATAGAAAAGAAAAACTAATTTTCTGGGGGCAAAACTCAAGCCTGCTGCAGAGATTTGCATAAGTAACAAGCAGCTGAATGTTAATCAGCAAGACAATGGGGAAAATGTCTCCAGGGAATGTCAGAGATTTTCAGGGCATCCCCTTCCATCACAGGCCTAGATACCTATGAGAGAAAAATGGTTTTATGACCCAGGCCCCAGGACCCCTTGTTCTGTGCAGCCTTGGGACATGGTGCCCAGCATCCCGACTGCTTCTTTCTCAGTTGTGGCTAAAAGGGACAAACATACAGCTTGGGCCATTAATTCAGACGTTGCAAGCCCCAAGCCTTAGTGCCTTACATGTGGTGTTGAGTCTATGAGTACACAGAAGTCAAGAATTGAGGTTTCAGAACCTCTGCCTATATTTCAGAGGATGTACGAAAACACCTGGATGTCCAGAAGGAAGTTTTCCACAGGGGTGGAGCCCTCAAGGAGAACCTCTGCTATGGCAGTGGGGAAGGGAAATGTGGGGTCTGAGCCTCCATGCAGAGTCCTCAATGGGGCTCTGCCTAGTGGAGCTGTGAGAAGAGGGCCACTGTCCTCCAGACTCCAGAATGGGAGATCCACGACAGCTTGTACTGTGTGCCTGAAAAATTGCAGAAAATCAGTGTCACCCTGTGAAAGCAACTGGAAGGGAGGCTGTACCCTGGAAAGCCACAGGGACAGAGCTGCCCAAGGCCATGGAAGCCCACTTCTTGCATCAATGTGACCGGAATGTGAGACATGGAGTCAAAGGAGATCATTTTGGAACTTTTAGATTTAATGACTGCCCTCATAGGATATGGGGCCTGTAGGTCTTTTGTTTTGGCAAATTTCTCCCATTTCAAATGAGTGTATTTAACCAATTCCTGTATTCCCATTGTATCTGGGAAGTAACTAACTTGCTTTTGATTTTACAGGCTCATAGGTGGAAAGGATGTTTGACTTGAACTTTTGGGTTAATGCTGGAATTAGTTAAGACTTTGGGGGACTGTTGGAAGGGCATGATTGTGTTTTGAAATGTGAGTACATGAGATTAGGAAGGGGTCAGGGGCATAAAGGTATGGTTTGGCTGTGTCTCCACCTAAAATATCATCTTGAATTGTAATCTAAATTGTAATCCCCATGTGTTGGGGACAGCTATAATGAATATCAGGCTCAGAAGTAATAGGGGCAATCTAGCTTGTTCTACTAGCTCTGTTGTATAACATCTTTGCTAAGTTGTGCCTATCTAGCACACAACAATGTACTAGACTGGAGTAATAGAGTGCATAAATGGATCTGAGTGGTACAGATGGTAGATTATATTGTATCCCTCAAAATTCTCCTGGCTCCAACTCTTACCCTAGCTACTATACAGGCTTTGATGAGCCTACCAGTCATCCAGTGGTTCAGCTTGAGCTACTCAGCTCACCTTTTGGCTCCTGCCCTGGTGTTCTGTGATGCCTTTTCAGGACATGTTCTTGAGAAACCACTTTGCACTCATTTGTGTGCAATCCGGAAGTAGGAAAACTACCACCTGTGGGGCTCCTCTTAACCTCTTTTGTCTCCTGACCAGGCAATTTTGTGATGTTTTTTGAATGTTCCCTCAGTATTTGCCAGGAGATCAAGAACCAGCTTCCTATAGCATTTGCCAAGCAGATAAAAAATCTTTGTGTTGGTTTTCCTCTTCTTCCCTCTTTTATTCTTCAGCATGTACTTCTCCCTGGGACCAAATTCCCATGTGAACAAGCACAAGCAAATATTTGCATTAGATCCTGCTTTGGGAGTAATCCTAGCTAAGAAAGAAAAGCCATTTGACGATGGCTTTAAAGTGAGAAGCCTCATTGCAAAATAGAAGTTTTATCTTTCAAAGTTGTACACATTCTTTTTAACATAAGATAAAAAAATAAACAAACATTTAAAAATCATAGTTGAACTCCTAGACTCCCAAGGAATCATTAACAACAGTTTGAGAAACAATGGTGTCAGATCTCTTTTTTAAGGAGAATTTTCAGAAGTTTCGTAGACCTATGGAATGACCAATAACCTATACTATGGGTCAGGAGTTGGTCATTTGCCACAATGTAGCTGTGAAGTGCACAATTTTGGTACAATGTCCACAGTTCAGTTGCTAGGGGAAAAGAGGAAAATGACTACTGGATAGGGAACAAGAATGCTCTGACATTGGGACATAAATGATTGATGTTAATAGATTCAAGTTTCCCAGAATTTTGTTAGTAAATATTCATTCTTACTCAGAATCAGAAATAACCAAATGTACTGGACTGGTTAGTACTCTGTGTTAATGGCATACATATTGTGAATATGGCTTAAAAAGAAATACAAGTTTATATCTCAACATTAATCTAGTTTCTACATGTTCTCATTTGACTTTCAGCAAAGGTAATACTAGCACTTAGGTTTTAGCAATTTACTTGCTGTTAAATATGGCAGCATGCAGTTTCAATATTAGAAAATCGGGACAAAATTTAAAAGGCTTTTGTAGATTTGCATTAAGTAACCTAAGAATATATTTTTCCATTGGTTATTGGCCATTGTTAAAGCAATTGAATTACGATACTCCTATCCATCATGTAGCATGTGGATTTATGGGAACATAATCAGACAATAGATAAATATGAATTTTAAAAGAGAAAAATCAAGCCTACAATTAAGAAAAAGAACAATCACCTGATTGTTATGAACCATCTGAATATAGTTTTCTAGTAATTCTTTACTCTGAACAGACAAAAAATAAAATGACTCCCACTGGGTAAGGAAAAAAGCAATAAGATCTAAATCTTAATCAAATGTTGTTCAGATCTCTATAGCTGGGGGCTGGCTTTACAGGAACTTTCAGAAATTTGTGTGTGTGTGTATTTTCAGGTCTCCATGCATGTTACATTAAGACCTTATGCAGGATACAATTACACTCAATAATTTCATATTGTTTAACTAGAAATTGAAAGCCAGCAATAAATATTTTTGTCCTCTTTCCAAATAAAGAATAATATCTTCATTTACTAACAAAAGAGATTCTTCTGAGCATGGATTATGCCTTTAGGCTCTAGGATGATGCCTTTTTAGTGTCTATATGCAAACTTTAGTTGAAATTACGACCCTAATTGACAGGGTTTTTAAATTGAGCACCCACAGGCCACGTTGCTACATAGTACATCGTCATTTTCTTCTACATTGAATTAATTTTCAATCAACATTGTTAAAAAAAAAAAAAGGAACAAGAGTAGAAACTGGCTACCAATACTCTAAAGCTATTTCAAATCCCGAAGCACAAAGCTTAATTAAGAACCAATTAATACAGAGCGTATACGTCAAAAGAAGATAAGGAAGATATGATGAGGTCAGTGTAAAAGTCGTTTCTGTTTTCTTTTGAAGCTTAGATATATCTCAATTGTTAAATAGAGGAGAAAATAAAACATTAACTTGTGAAATCTGCTTTATTTTAAAGAAATAGAAATAAAATTTACTTTTGAGGTTACTGACCCATAATCTTATTACAGAAGAAAAAGCATCAAAAGCATTCATAAGACACTTCTTGTAATTTCTTAGGGAATCAGTGTAGTGTTTGAATGGTTAGGATTAATTCATTGTGGCATATAATGTTGTTTTGCTGAGACAGAACCACTTTTGCCATGTGAATATGGAATTAGGTGTTGTTGCCACCAAAGTTCTTTCAAGTTTAACAAGCTCATACTTTTATTTTCCAGTAATGGGTCAATTCCGTCTTCATATTGATCAATTTAAACTACTATATGACCTAAACCTTTAATTGGAGTTGTGATGCCTTTTAGGCTTCACTTGAGGGTGAGTGCATAATTTTAATGTCAAGTTCACCTCAGTTTTTATCTTTCTAATCTATGACATGGAAGGTGGAAATACATGCTTTCAACGAGATCTTAATGCTGACAAAAATGGAAATCAAATGAATATGGTTAATTAGAAGTCAGGTGAATAAGTATTTTAAGGAACTGGCAGTGATTAACTGTATCATCTAGTGTCTTCATTTATTTGAGCTGCTATAACAAAATTCCGTAGTCTGGGTAACATAAGCAACAGAAATTTATGTATCACAGCTCTGGGGCCTGGGAAGCCCAATATCAAGGGGGCAGCAGATTCAGTGTCCGGCAAAGTTCACTTTGCCTCAAAGATGTTGCCTTGTTGCTCTGTTCTCACATAGCAGAAGGATATAAAGGGGATCTGGGGCTTCCTCAAGCTTCTTATATACAGTTAGTAATCTCATCCATGAGGGCAGAGCTCTTATAATCACTACCTAAAGGCTCCATTCTTTAATACTATTACATTGGGGATTAAGTTTTAACATACGAATTTTGAGGGAACACTAACATTCACACCATAACATAGCTGAGAATTAGCTACTGAGTTTACAATGTGGAGGTCATTGTTGACCTTGAACAGTTTTGATAGAGTAAGAAAGATGGAGTGATAAAACTTGAGTGAAGTGGATACAATAGAGATTAACAAGAGACAAATTAGGAACAACTCCTTTGAGGAATTTGCAGTAAAAAGAAGAGTAACCTTTAGTAATCAAAACAATATTGTGCTGGCATAAAGACAGACATACAGATCAATGAAACAAATAGCAATCCTAGAAGTAAAACTACAAATATAAGTTCTGCTGACTTTCTAAGAGGATGCCAAAAATATAAAATGAGGAAAGTCTTTTCAATAAAAGGTGTTGGGAAAACCGGATAAGAGGGGTGGTAGCTGTATCAGATATTGGGACCAGTTTTTTTTTTTTTTTTTAAATTCACTATAATGTGTTCTTTGGAGAAATGTTGCTTCAGGTCCTTAGCTCATTTTAATTGGGTTAGTAGTTTTATTTTTTGCTATCAAGTTGTAAGCATTTGTTATATATTTTGGAGATTAGCTTTTTATCAGGTATGTATGGTTTGCAAATATTTATCTCCCATTCCATAGATTGCATTTTTACTCTGTTGATTGTTTCTTTCACTGTGCAGAAGCCTTTTATTTTGATGTAAGTTCAACTTGTTTATTATTATATTTGTTATCTGTTCTTTGGTAGTATATCCATGAAATTATCGTCAAGATAAATGCACGACCATTCTATGTTTTTTTTGAGATTTATAGCCTCATGTTTAAAGCTTTTAACCCATTTTGAATTGATTTTTTTTATAGCGTAAGATTAAAGTCCAATTTCATTCTTTTGCATACAGATATCCAGTTTTCCCAACACTTTTTGTTGAAGAGATTTTGGCCATTTTATATTCTCAGCACCCTTTTAGAAGACCAGTTGTCCATAGAGTTGTGGTTTTCTTTCTGGATTTTCTATTTTGTTCTGTTGGTCC